GGGGCTGCGGGAGCACAAAGGAGCGCAGACAATAGGGCGAGCGGGAGGGTTCCTCACACCCACGGCGGCCGCGRTCGGGCTTTGTGTGCCGCCCTGGCTCGCCGTCCGCCCTCCGCCGCTCCTTTGTTCGCTGCCAGGGGTGAGACAGGCAGGTGAGCGGCGCTGGAGGCAGGGGCTGGCGGCCGCCGCATATTAATGGATTYGCGCAGCCTGTCGCTGGCTCTTGGACTTGATTCATGAGGCTCCTCCGTGGGATGCGGCCGGCAGGGAGACAGCTATTGTCCGCCGGGCCTGCAGCGCTGCCGGTGCTGCTCCGGAGGCTGACACGGCCCCAAAAAGCGCTTCGCACCTTCGCCCCGCTGTCCTGCCCGCCCGGGGTGTCCGTGTGTCCGTCTGTCTGTCCGTCTGGTACCCGCAGCCCACGCGTGTCCCTGCGGCAGAGGCTGCGCTGGGGAGAAGGCGATGGGCGGCTTCCCAAACCCTGCATCGCGCTCCTGTCGTAGTGTCCAAGCAGGGCTGCATCCAAGGAGGGCTTGTCCAACTAAAAACACTTCCAGTCAGTGCCTCAGTGACACCAGGGAAATGCTCTTGGCTGCTTTTTCTTCTTTTTTTTTTTTTAATGGCTGCTTGCACTTGTCACATTACATTTTATGATTGACATTTTATGGTTACATTTTATGCTCGTAGATGTCACATTACATTTTATGATTGACATTTTATGGTTACATTTTATGATTACATTTTATGATTTATAATTTTTAAACAAAGCAAATAGGCAGCTGATGGACAGGTGTTAACCAGGCAGCAGTCAGCCTCTGTCTTGACAAGGCTTGATTCAGGTACAGCCTTTGGTAATGCTCGTGTGGGAAGGGTGTGGATGATAATTCCAGAGAAGAAAAACAAACTGGACGGCGTGCGCTCCATCAYGCTGACAAAGACCTGAATGGTACATGCTGCGGTGCAAATAGGATTGTTTGCATATTCAGCTGGCTTGCTCTTCCCGTTTCCCCATCCCTGAACATAGGTGGTGCCTGAGCTCCTTGGGGAGCTGTTTGAGTTGRGGGGACAAATGTGTCAAGGCGAGGGGGGTAAAGGAGCATGTGGAGGAGGAATGAGGGCAGAGAGTGTGCTGATTTCAGGGCCTAGCTGGTGGGGAAAACGCTTCGGGGGTAGGGTTTATTCGACTGAATATAGGAAGCTACAGATAAGCTTGTGTGACACGTTTGTTTTTATATCCCTTCATGCAGTTTATCCCATTCTGAACTAGACATTTGCTCTCCAGAGCAAAATAAAGGTCCAAGGTCTGATTTCTTTTTTTTTCCCCCTTTCTTTATTTTTCTCAGCTGTCAAGGAATAAAGTGAGGGGGAAAGGAGCATTTATTCCCAGCGGGTAAAGAGAGGAAGGCTGAAAGGATGGATTTTATCCAGTGATAGCACTCTCTGAGCAGCAAACCCCACCTCCGAATTTCCAGTAAATCTGCTGGGAGTACAAAGCAAACCAATCAAGGTGTATTTACTGTCCCATTAACCTGGTGCCCCCATGCCCTCTCTGGCACACGCTGGCAGCACACAAAGGTGCATCCCAATGCTGCGTGGCTGCGAGCCCAGCTGGGGCAAAGTGACCAAATGGCTCCTGACTCCTGTCCTCCAGCCACCACAGCATGGAAAGAGGGCGCTGGAGGTGAGCCTGTTTTGGGAACAGCAGTGCTTGGGGGCTGTGCCAGCCCTTTGTGCTCTCAACGAGGTGGAAATTTAATTGCAAAGAGGAGTTCACACACAGTTATCTGCAACTGRAGACAAAGCAGCCTATGTTAGAGATCACCTAGACTTTGCTGCTGTCAAATACTGGCTGCAAGTGTGATGAGTTTCCTGAATGTCATCTTTTACCTGGCGACACATGTAGAACTTTTGGAAAGAGCTTGTCTTCAAGGTTTTTGCAGGTGTTTGGTTTTTGTTTTTTGTTTTTTTTTTTTTTTCTTCTTACAAAGGTAATTAGGCAATCACAGAATTTTGATGGAAGTTGCCTCTTTTTTCAAAGCACATGGCCATCCTGAAAATTAAAGGAAATGCTGATAAATTTGGTTTATTCCCTATCTAATGTTCTTCTATGCTGTCCGCAGAGCATGTCCTGCCCCTGGTTACTCTGCTAACTTGTCTCTGCTTCTAACACTCTGTGTATAAAACACAACCGGGCGCTTCTCGCTCTGATTAAAATCATGCTGTGCAATAGGAAATACAAATTAGCTCTGGCCTTTGGGCTCCTGACAAGTTTCCAGCGCTGCTTTCAACACCACAGAGATTGTGTAACCCCATCTGTGCGTGCTCTGGACGGTGACGTTTTCCCCTCCGTCATGAGTCGGGCTGGCYGCCGCTCATCCAGGTTCAGCTGTGAATGCTCCGAGCAGCTTTTAGAAYTGAAGGAGGAAGGGATGCTGCCAGCAGGCTGGTGAAACGCAGAAACCAGCTTTTCCTTGCTAGGGGTCTATGTGGGAAAGGTTAAAAGGAGGAGGATTTCCTAGGTAATCCCCCCAATCTTGATGTTTGTGCAAATACCTCCCTTTGGAAGGAGTGACTGGGGGCTCAGCGCAGGAGAGCCAACACTTCAGTACAAGATTAACCCCCGAAGGAAGAGCACGGTAGCCTCTTGCTCAAACTACAGCTCAAATCTGCGCTGCCATGAAGCGCACGGCACTTTCCTGCCTCCTCCAGGGATCCAAGCCAGGCACGCTGCGTTACATCACTTCAGCGCYGCTCACACAAGGGCTGAGGCTCCAGCTATCGTGTCACGTTTTCAGCAGAAACCTTTTAAGTCTCGGCGACTTCCTCTGAGGATGCTGAAGCAAACAGTGCCCAGACCTGTGAGTGAACGAGCTGCGAATGACATCGCCGGCTCGAAACGGTGCGTGGGCACAACGTGGGCGAATGTTCCCTGCACTGGGTGTTTTCTAAAGGTCTCTGAAGCATGAGGCATGACTGAATGACTTCTGTTTTCTTTAAATGATGAGTGGGAGAATTCTGAATCGTTGGTCTGCTTTTATTTTTGTTAGATGTGTGTGGGCTGACRACATGACTCAGTATTTTCTCTGCAGATGCAAAGATCATAGTGCCAATTCTGGGTATATGTTTCAGATAGTTTCCCAGGGAGAACTGGAACACTTTTTCAGCCCAGAGCTTTGCTTTTGGGCAGCCTTAAGCCTATTGTTGTGTAAATAAGTGATTTTAAAAATGAGTGTTTTGCCAAAATGTATATAAATACATTTATATACTGAAAAAATGACCAAACATGGGGAAAATCCCTCTACCCCCATGTTTTCCCAGCAGTTCATCTGATTTTTTTCATGGCCATAAATGTCTGATTTTTCTTTCTGATTCTCCCTAGCCTCTCTTTGTCTGCTGGGTATCATCTCTGGTGTTTATTTAGCCATCTGTGTCCTGCTGGGTGACAGCCACCATCCTGTGAGTGATGGCCATGAGTCCTCCCCTCCCAAGAGACAAGTAGGCAAATTTGTGGGTACATGGATGTRGTTCAGCCAGAGGTCCCAGAAAACTTCACTTTATCCCTTCTGGCAACTTCTGTGCCCTGCTCTCCCTTCTTTATCCTCCCTTTATGCCATGTACAGCATGTGACATGTGCTCTGGGACATACACAAAGCCAGGATGCACCTGACCCATATATGCACAAGCATGTATTACAGTAATAGGGAACTGTATCATTTTCCTATCATTCTAGTTCCTCAGTCCTAAGATCTACTTCCTATTCCTGGCATTTTCTCTACCTTCCACTGTCCGCCCACGGCAATATTTCACTCCAAACCTAAGGCTGAGCACATCCATCATCCTTTATAGACCTCATCGGAAGCCACTTGACATGGTTGGCTCAAATGCCATTGCAGCCCTGTCTCATAATGGYAAGAAATGGGTAGCAGGCCTTACAATTTCTCTGCAATCCTCACATTATCCAGGAATAATTCTAAAGTTTAACCCCTTTTTACCCCACAGCATGATTCCAGCCTCAGRGATAAACTATCAGCCAGCATTCCTCAAATCACAAGCAGCAGCATTCTGCCTTGCTGTGCACCAGCACTCAGGCTTGCCCTCAAGAGCAAGCAAAGAGGTGGTGCTGTTTAGTCCTTGGTGTTCCAATCTCTAACCCTGACCTTAGTGTCTGAAAATTTGAAGTTTTTTACTTATGGTCCTGTACCTTTGAGTGCCAGAGCCAAGCCCACATGACACTGTTTCTAATGTTTTTGCTGGAATCCAGGCATGGAGATGGAGGCAGCTACTGGGATTTKCTTGGTGCACAAGCTGTGAATTGTGTTTTTCAGAGGTTGTGCTTGATGGGGCAGAGCATGTTTTGGTGGAGTTCAGGGTRGAAAGATGATGTTTGGGCATGGCTTGAAGGACTAACAGATTTGCTCAGCTGCTGGGGGATGGCGGGCTGGATAGGGATAGAGCATGGGGGAGCGTCTGTACATCAGGGAGTGAGCAGGGGGTCACGGTGTGTGGCACTGATACTCCCCTTTTCCTAAAACAATCTTCTTTGTTCCCATCTTCTTACTTCTTGTGCCCTTCCACTGGTTTTCATCACTGTCCCCATCTTTTTCCTCCAGCCTGTGGATTTCCAGAGCGATCTGCTGTTCTAAAGCTGGTTCTTCAGCCCTCCCCAGCACTGTGTCATTGCTGCCTTGCCTGCTTTTGGCAGTCAGAGCTCAGCCAGAGGCCAGGCACACGAGCCCTGTGCTGTCCATTAGAAGGCGGTCTGCGCTCTGTATTTCACGTTGGTGTGTCTTGYTGGCTGGGAGACAAGAATGGAGAGTGCTACAGCCTCAGATGCCTTCAGATGTCATTGTGTTGCTGTGAATAACAAGCTTGCTTCTGAAGCTTTTTTGGGATTGGCATTCAAACTTGCATCACTTATTTATTTACATTGAGGGTAGGTATTGCATCTTTTGTTTCTGAACTGCATTTAATAAGATTGTCAAAGAAAAACTCTCMAAGTTTCTGGGAAGGATACTTATTAAAAAGGGTTTTGTAATTGCTACGATGTGTGGTCCTCAGCTTTCCTGAATGTTTGCTGTGTTACATTCAAGTATGGCCCAGTATAGTTTGAAAGAAAGCTTGGAAAGAGAAAAGCTGACAGCAGGTCAGATGAGGGAGGTGAAGCTGATTTATGCCTCTTTTTTTTTGCAACAGATGAAGTTGGTATTCCTCACCTGCTTAAGGAGTGCCCGCAGCAGACTGAATCACCAACACACCTTGTTCTGAAATAAATCACAGTGGCAAAACGATATTGCTTGTGGCAAGTAGGCACAATGCTTATTAAATAGCGAGCGTTACTTGCATGGTTCAGATCACCACTACTTTTTTTTTTTAAAAAAAAAAAGTTTGTTTCCCAATATCAAGGCCAGTAAAGGGCACGTCCCCACAGGGTGCTGAGACCARCCTGCTTCCTCATTCCTTGCACTCTCACTGATGGGATCCTTCCTTCTGTGCCAAGTGAAACCTTCCTCACCCAACCCTGTAGCCCTGGACTCACCCTGAGCCCAGCCAGGTCTCCTCCTCCACGTCAGGCAGCCTCACCCCATCCCTCACGGGAACACCCACCCTATTCCTGTGTGCCTTAACAAGGTGTTCAAGGGTTCTGGCATTTGCAGACACTCCTGATACACAACATGTGTCCATTTTTATGGCCAGTTTGGATAAAGACATTGCTCCAGCTGGTGACTGCAGCTTCCAGATAASACTGACCACGTGACAACCTAAGAAACAACAAACTAAGGAGAGAGGAATTGTCCATTTTTGGACTCCATTTACCAACACTTTGTTGCACAAACATAGAATAACAACTCCAACTGGACCAGTTTTCATGGTAGTCATAACATTACCTGTAAGTGATTCTGCAAGTTTGCACTTCCTGGGTGTGCCTTTGAATCAGATTCATAAAGGGAAACAATATTTTGAATGTGAGAGCTTCTTGGTATGTATTATTTCCTGAAACTCTGAAATTGTCACTTGTGACCTTACTGGTGTTCCTTACCCCTAATAAATTTAACATCAGCTTTTTAGAAAACTGCTGTGTCTGTGGCCACATTTTGAGTTGCTGAAACACTGGGATGTATTGGAAAACACAAGAGTACTGAAACATCCACAAACAATGTCCTGCAGGTCAGAATCTTTCTAAATAGGTCACGGTTTGGTTTGAGAATCTGGTGTTTCTTCAAAATATCCTTTACACTTGTTTTATTTCTCTATTTCATTCTCCATTCAGTCGGAGCCTACGTGCTGGATTTATTTGTTTTACATTTCTTTGCTGTCCATTTTGCTGCCAAATCATCATCTCGTGTTGCTGTCTTATATAAATGTTAACATTAGCAAGCTTCACAATAACAGTCTGGAAAGGAAACATTTACTTCTGAGCTTCCCTCTGCCAAACAAACCTACAGCGTTTGCTTTTTTGTGGCTACTGGTGGTTAAGGCCATGGGTTRTAAAATTATAATGCTGTAGGCAATGTCTGTTATAGTTATGATCACTGTAACATGCACTTCAACGTATTTATTGTTTCCCTTTTAACTTTTAAGTGATACATTCAGTGTGGAGGACACGGCTCCCCATTCCCTCATACAATATAATCTCCGTAGGCTCTTGAAAGGCTGCAGGAAAAAAAAAGACTCCGTTTTAAACTCTAATTTTTTGTCCTTGATGAGACATAAGGAAAGCGCCAATGTTAGTTTTGTGTTCTGAAAGGAAGGGTGATGGGACCAGAGCAGCGATGCACGCGTCAGGAGAGAGCTTGATGAGAAATAAACCATCGCAACCCCAGCATGGAAATATCGGCTCCCTAAAATCAGATGTGACTCTGCCCCGCGTTCTTTCCGGGAGAATGCACCACTGCACGTCCACCAGCCCTCCGTGGATGGAGCTCGCTGTGTGCCCCATGGCTTCGGGAAAACATTTGTCAGGAACTGCAGCAATCGAATGTTATGTCACTGACKGACTGTGCCCCGTGGCTGGGTCTGCAGGAGCTGAACCGCGTAAGGAAATTGAGCAGGAACCGAAGGAGGAGACTGCCCGGGCCCCTGTGCCGAGACCAGCAGGGCCCCGCTGTCCCCGCCAGCTGCCGGGATCGCAGCCCGGGACCGGGGGGGTGAGAGGCGGCAGCACGGGCCCGGCACGACCCCGGCTCCGAGCGAACTGCGCCGGACCCTCAGAGGGTGTCCGGACGGGACACAGGACAGGACACAGGGTGGACACAGAGCAGGACACAGGGCTGGACACAGGGCAGGGCACAGGGCTGGACACAGGGCAGACTGGACACAGGGCTGGACACAGGGCAGACTGGACACAGGGCTGGACACAGGGCAGACTGGACACAGGGCTGGACACAGGGCAGGCTGGACACAGGACAGCACACACATGCCAGGACACACAGGGCAGGACACAGGGCTGGACACAGGGCAGACTGGACACACAGGGCAGAACACAGGTCTGGACACAGGTCTGGACACAGGTCTGGACACAGGTCTGGACACAGGGCTGGACACAGGTCAGCACACACAGGGCAGGACACAGGGCTGTCTGGACACAGGTCAGGATAGCACACACAGGTCTGGACACAGGTCTGGACACAGGACTGGACACAGGGCTGGACACAGGTCAGCACACACAGGGCTGGACACAGGTCTGGACACAGGGCTAGCAAGACACAGGGCTGGACACAGGGCAGGACAGCACACACAGGGCTGGACACACGGCAGGCTGGACACAGGGCTGGACACAGGGCTGGACACAGGTCAGGACAGCACACACAGGGCTGGACACAGGGCACAGCACAGCACACACAGGTCTGGACACAGGTCTGGACACAGGGCACAGCACAGCACACACAGGGCTGGACACAGAGCAGGACACAGGTCAGGACACACAGGGCTGGACACAGGGCTGTCTGGACACAGGGGACAGCACAGCACACACAGGGCTGGACACAGGTCAGCACAGCACACACAGGCCAGGCCGCTCCGGGCGCCGCCGCCGCGCTCGTTACGTAACG